TCCACTATATATATATATATCTTTTATTCCTTTTGATATATGGTCAATTTTTGATTGCTCCGATTAGGCCGGGGACTGCAGTTGAATGTAAGAAATAAATTCTCATTTTGAATTTCTCGTTTATGGCTTTTTTATTTACATGAGCGAGGGAGGGAGAGACACCAAATGAAACGAAGCGAAATGGAAAATTTGACTGAGTAGTGGGGGTAGATTGTCTGCTCAACAAAATTAGCTGCCGTGCGACAGCAACAACCACAGCAGCAACAGTTAGAGGAACACAAAAAAACAGCAACAATAAAATCTAATTTAATGAAAAGCCAACAACATGAGAAAGATGTGGAAGCCAGGAAAGGGCCAACGCTTTGTCTGGTTTTCTGCTTCGTATAGATACACTTTCTAGATGGAGAGTATTATGAGTTTGATTTGATGTTTGTAAAGGAGCAAAAATACGATTTAGTCTAATAAAGTCAATACCCGACCCGAATTACACTTTCTATGAGAAATAAATACAATTTTCAACTGCAAAAATCAGTATAATTTGGTAGCTACAATGTGGAAGCATAAATAGCATATTTTGCTTATTAAAAGTGTGTTGAAAAAACATTTATAATGAGAAAACTAAAAAGAAAGCCGATAATGCGAAGGATAAATAATATTTGAAAATAAATCACACATCTTTCATAGCAATTATCTCAAAGCTTTACCCGTAAGGGTATCCAGCACTTCAGTTCTGTTTTTCTACATTTTTCATTTGCTTTTTTTGTATCTCCATTTATTTTATGGCCATTTTCAATGTAATTTTTAGTGTTGAGCGGGGCACAAGGTGTTGTGTTCGAGTTGTTCACAGTGTCCTCTGTATGGGTGGTGTCTGCTCTTAAACACTTTCAAATGAGTGTCGCTGGGGCTATTTCTAGGTGCTCACCATTCACCATACAACCTCCCAGGGCAGCGTATGGCATACTCCAGTTTAGACAAGGAAGAGAGAGAGAGAGACAGAGGGGGTAGCATTCATCCAACGTGTTGTGTTGAACTGTGAATTTGAAGGGGGATTTGTCGGAATATACGAAATATGTATGTAAATTTCTGTAGTTTTTGGGTCTTTGTCAAAATGTACTGAACGCCACAGCAGACGAACGGGCAAAGCTCATTGAACCAGTCACAGAGAAAGAACAAATAAAACTACAACGAGTACCAGTACGAGTACTAACCAGCAAAGCACTCAAGTTCCAATTGGAAAATCCATCAATTTTCGAGGCTTTTCGAGACTCGGGCTCGGACTCGAGAAAATTTCAAATTTCACTTACATTTTTCGCCTAGAAACAAAACACTCGAGCAGTGGACGGAAGGGTGGGAAGGGGGGAACAGCAATCAAAAGTGGCAAATAAATTTGCACTTGCATCATCCTCATCACTATTGCCCAGTGCCCCCTATGGCATATGCTGTGAATGCTAACGTCTATAAGATATCCTGTAATTATGGAGGAATATTTGAGGAATTCTTTGGTGGATGTTTTAGTAAAAGGAGAGCGAGGAGACTCTATGTGCTTTAAAGAAGAATTGTATTAAATTGTATTAGTTATATTATTACTATCAGATAGAATTATTTTCGGTGGTGCCAAAGCTGAGTTCTAAATCTCTTTAGTTATGGATTCCACATCGATGTAAAGCCAGGTTCCTTTTCCGCATATTGATCATACCCAGCACCCTCTGCTGATATTAATGAGTATCAAAAGAACAGCTATCAGATGGAATATCCATGGCAGCCAGAGCGTCGTGTTCAATTGTTTTTGTCTGCTCTCTTTCTCTCTCTCCTCTCTCGCTCTGTAGCTGCGCCCCCCGCGTGAATGTGTGAAAAACATGCCGCAAAATTGCCGAAAAAGCCGCACGCACACATCCCATGGACACATGGAAAATGGAAAATTCCCTCTGCCCGCCCTGCTGTCCGCTGGCACTCTGTTTGCATTTTGCCCATTTTTGTAGTCAAATTTCTGTTGTACTGACGGCTGATTCAGCGGCGGTTGTTCCTGCCCCCAGCACCAGCTACTGGGCCCACTGCCCCACTCTACGTTCTGACGTCTTTTGAATATAGAAATTTTATTGCTCCTGGACGCGGGTTGTAGCGTTTTTTTGGTCTTGCGCAATGTTTACACACATTCTACATATACATATGTATTGATGGGTGTATGTACATATGTATTGTGCCGTTCAGTCCAGTCAAAGTCAAAATTCATGTAGAACATTGAAGGAGTTGGATCAGCGGGGTGATCGAAGGAGAGTAAATCTCCTCCTCCTCTTTCGATTTTGTGTATGTTTTGGGTTGTGCATTACTTTTGCATGTTGCAGACATATGTTTTTTTTCCGTAAAACAGGCAACAGCAACAGGCAGTTTTTCCTCCATGTATACAGCTTGTAGAATCTCTCTCTGTATGGTCGTTCCCTGCCCACAATTGTGTCCAGCATTTAGCTCGTTTTGCTTTGCAATTTGTGCTGCTGGCCAACAAAATTCATTGGAAATTTCGAACACAACGAAAGCGCACGCATTTGTGCAAATAAACAATGAGTGGGAGCGTCGGGGCACCAGGTGGGGGTGGCTTGTTGTGTGGGTGTGGGTGGCTAGTTGGATTGGGTTTGCTTGGTTGTCTGTTCTGGTATGTGGCGGTTTCTGAGGTACTGCTGCTGCTGTATAATGAGCAAACGACTCTAGACGGGGGAGAATTGTGGGAGTATCTGTAGGATGTGCATTATGTACTACAGAGGGAGAAAGGGATAGAAATCTTATAGGAGATGGAAGGAGGAGCTTTTCTTGGTATTAAAACTTTTCTGTTTACATTTGCCCAACGATTAAGAAGTGTTATTTGATGAAAAATCGATCTAAATCTTCTAAAATGAATCAGTATTAAGGATAAAGTATAGAAAAAAGTTATGTACTGACCGTGCCTTACCATTTTAAGAAAGTTTCAGGAATATTATTTAAATTTTGTGTTAAAATCTAAAATTCAATTAATAGGGCATCACTTAGTCGAGACTTTAATTTCATTTGAAACACTGCGCTCTGCTTGCTCCTCTCTGCTTCTCCTCCTTCTCACCCATTTACCTCTTCCTTTTGCAGCTTTGAGTCTGCCCTGCTGCTCTCTCTCTCTGTCTCTCTACTTTCCCCTTTCCTTGCTTGCCATAATCTTAATGAATTGTTGCCACTGGAAACCACTGCATTCCATTGCCATATAAATGTGGAAGCAAATTAGATAGAGACCAAGCCAAAGAGCCAAAGGAGATGCAAGCATAAAGAGATGGGAAGAGGGAAAGGCAGAGCGATGGTGGCCTCTGCGCTAAAAC